CACATACATATACCACACGCGCGCATATATCCTCTGATAAATAAAATCTGAATTATAATCTAATTTCTCTATTTCTTTAAAACTCGGATATTTTTCTAAATATATTCACATATTTTTCTGTTAAATTGATACGCCATTTATCACACCATATTTGAATGTGGAAACATTTTGCAATTCTTCCTTCTAATTTAAAATATCGATAAAATTTGTTTGAATATTAACTAACAATTGATATCAAATAATACCAATTTAATAGTTAATATGAATACCAATTAATTACTTAAATATATGAGGAATAATTTCAGAATACATTGCCAGTCATTACAACATTCCGTCATCTTTGTATTGATAACCACGTGTTCCTGGCAGTGTTAAAAAAATCACGTAAGTAAAGATCACTGTTCTATAAAAATATATGTGCACTTAATATGCATATAAATTTACATAAAAAATAATATTATGTTTAGTAGCGAAAATAAGTCGATTTATGAAATAAATAAATAAAAGAAAAAATTCACATTTTGTAGTCTAGACGGAATCATAGCACTCGCTTTTCGAGTTTTATCCAGCTTTTTAGTTTCATAAATACGTTAAATGCTACATTTAATTCAAAGATATAAATTTAGATTTAAATATTTCTATAAAAATATGTAATGCTAAATTTAACTTAAATATGAATTTAGATTTATATCTGATTTATTATATGATCGTCGCATATATGTTAACTATGATCATAAATCATCAATAAGAGAAGACAATAATAATTATCAGTATCTCACAATAAAGAGAAATGATAGAGATCATACAAGAAATGTACAAATGTGATCTATCGGGAAAAGATGATTGGCATTATCCCTTGATAGATCAGACTTTTCGATGTTTGATTATGGAAAAACTGTTATCGTTTCCTGTCATGTTATTGACGATTGTCAGTATGCCTTCACAAATTTGATGGGCAATTAAAACGAGCTTCTTCCCGATTTTCTTGGCAATATTTGTGAGTCGTCGACTCAATGGTGGAACCATAATTCTTAAATAAAAAGATTTGATTTTGAAAAATTTTAAATATGTATAATTATGCATGATCACTGGCCATCACATTATCAATTTAGTATCAATTCGCATTTCCTTTCATCTTTATCTAATTTTATCACTTTATTTAAATTTAACATTCTGTTAGCGTTATTAATTTCACAAAGTTATTTCCAATTTCTTTCATCAATTATCTTTGGAATTCCACCATAGGAATTGTCAGATCTAATAATTTTGATTATTATACTAAAAAATTTTACGAGCAACTTCCGATTTTCTATTAAATGAAATTAAAAGATAATGACTCGCTTAGCGCTGGACGGGTTCGACAATATGTATTGCACATTACATACTTTCGTATTATGTCAGATCCAACTTTTAAGCCGAGAGTCATTACGTTTATTCTTTTTTTTCCCCCAAATATAATGATTTATAAATCCGCGGTCCTCTGTATCCAGACAGTGAAAATATACTATATGTTTGAGTATTTAGATATTTTATATCACCAAATATGCAATATATATATATATATATATATATATATATATATATATATCGCATATTTTTTAAAAAATAATTACATGAGATAAAATCTTTGATATATATTTGGAAAATTGTTGATATAAACATTTAGTTAATCTTTGCATTCTTGGCTCCACGGATACATAAATCCTGTCTAATAGATATTTGATTGTTTTATTATTTTTCTATTCTTATAAACTAATAAAACAAAAGACGAGAACAAACTTTTTGATAAACTTAATATATTAGATTCTGATTTTATGCAGCAAATATATTATTTCGAGTATACAAATTTTATCGAATGGCCGATTTTTTTTCTTTTTTGTGCGTGTAATATATAAGAACAGAAAAAATTCTGAAAACAACCCCACGATCACAGTTGCGGTTTGTTCTCAGCAGGTACTCGGCTTGTACATCCTTTTAGCCCGTTTTCTCTTCGTATGTTTAGCGCTAAATGCCAAGAAAATAGTTGAAAATGATTAAATAATTAACATTAAACTCATCATTTCCGACTATTTTCCTTTTTTTGTCCAATAAAAAGTCTCGCGATTTTAACAAGATATAAATATTAATCTTCATTATTTATGGATCAATTAATATGAACTCGATTTTTCATTTTTATGGAAAATCTTCCGAAAGTCCAAATTGAACGAAGATCCATTGATAATGAAAAGTTATGAATATTATATAAAAAGAGAATTGGACAAATCTTGCGCTAAACGTTTATCCGAAGTATGCCCATCTCTTCTTTGTTAACTAGAAACTAACAATTTTTACTTATTTTTATTCCGCGTTTCCTCTTTCTTTTTATAGAAATGCTTCTAAGTATCATATTCTCTATAATTATATATCTATTAAACATAGATCCGCTGGTCCAGTTTGCCAATCTGATTGCCACTTTCGGATTCTCTTATCTAGATCTTTCATTTTTCTATTAATACTGTCTAAATAATATAGTCTAACAGACTAAATAATATAGTCTAACAGACTAAAACAGACTCCATCAATCGCCACACTATGCAAATGTTTATTGCTATCAATCTGGGTCGTCGATGTGACCGCTATTAATTAGTTAATTTACGTCATGGAGCGTCGTGACCCAGAAATAAAGGTAAAAAACGTGCTTTTTTCTTCCTTGTTATTTTTTCTTCTTTATTGGACCCAGACGAGAATCGATTGGCAGCTTGGAACTTATACAAGGTATCCCGCAACAACCATGAGATATTTTTTCAAAAAAATCCATTTTTTTGTCTTTTTTTTAGTAAAGATGCTATAATTCTTCTTCAATCAATATAGTTGTATAATTGGGTTAATTATTAAATTGTTATACATGAAATTTATTTTTTGTTGTACATGAAATTTTATTTATATACACAAAATCTTAAATAATCTAAGGAAAAAATTTAATAATACACATGAATATGATTATAAAAATAATCAAATATTTTCGTAATCAATTTTTTATTAGATATGTGAAATTCAAAGCAATTATATATATAAATATATAAATATATAAGAATTTTAGAAACCTCAAAAACTGTGAAGAGAATATTTTAAAAGATGAAACTTTCAAACTTCGATTTTACACATATGTTAATAAAAGTTATCAATATGTTATAATTTATAATAAATTATATATTTTCGGCACATGACTATTTAATATTTACTTTCAAATTAGAAAATGTTATACGAATAAATATTAATGTTCATCATTCCATCGTGATTTTTTTGAGATAATCTTCGGTTGTCTCAGTACACCCTGTGTGTCTTTCCCCCTAAGCGGTGGCACTTGATGTGTTATAAAAGCGAATGCGTAAACCGCCAGCTCGGACCGCTTCGATATAAGAAATCTGAGCATTTCTTACTTTACAATATCATCACAGAACTTTGATGTGTGGTTATATTGCTTAATATAAGACTTAAAAATTATCGGCTCGAGAAGTGGCGGTTTACGTCAGTCCATCGCTAAAATTAGTAGATTATTCTTAGCACAATAATTACTTCCAAATGGCATTTAAACCTCCATCACGAAGGTTTCAAACCTTTCAGAGTCACTTTGCGCTGCTCGGGGATAGAGTACTTAATTAATTCAAGCTTATATCTATTCGTATATACAGGGTGACGCATTTATGTTGCAACAAATTATTATTTTGTATGAGATGTATCGATTTCAGAACAAAAAATGCTTTAAATAAAAAAATGTAGATTTTTAGAGACATATTTTATGAACATTTTATTCATAAACAATCTCACTTTCAAGAGATTTTATCTCATTGCTTAAGTTTTGAAATATATTAATATAAAATATCTAAAATCCGAGGGGGAGAGAGAGTTCCCTTTTTAAAGAAGTAATTTATATTAATATAGATTATACAATTTATATATTATCCATATTTATCATCCTCATGTAGTAGTAATAATGTATGGAAAAATAATTTAAATAATTCGTAAAGTTTTAAAAACTCTATTTATATATACTATAGGATTAAAATTCGAATATTCTCCATGAGGAAAAATCGTCTTTAAATTGAAATTCAGAAAATTTAAGAATTTTAAGATTCAATCAAAAAAAATAATTAGTACAGGATCAATTATCAATAATTTATTTCATGTATCATGAAAGTATAGATTTTGTTTTCATCGAAAAAAATTTATTAGATTAAAAGTTTTATTGAAAATTGTAATTAAAAAATTACCTAGTGAACACCCTGTATATATATGTACAAATCTATGCGTGTGTGTCTTCATAAGTAAAGGAATAAATTAACCTTCTATAAGGGGCCGACATTAATTGGAGACCGACTGAAGTGATTGATTAGTAATATTGATAGATTGCAAAGGATTGCAGCTCGATAATTGATCAAGTTTTATGGATCTTATTTTATCGGTTTCTTCTATCGTTTTTATTTCTGCTTTAACTTGAACATTTTTCGCTATTTTGCTCTCACCCTGATTGGAGGACTCATCGTAACCGGAATCAGATGAAGAATCGCTAAAGGTCTTCGTTTGTTTCGAACTTGTTTCTGGACTTGACGATGGGGATTCATCGCTATGAATAGGACTGGTGGATGCAGAACTGTGAGCTGGACTGGCGACTGCCAGAGAAGTACTGAGCTGCCGCCTGGCAAGATTTTCGCAAGGTTTCAAGACAGACGGATATATTATGATTTCACCATTGGCGCCTCTAAAAATACTGCCGCAGCAAGTAATTTCTCTGTGTAAAATAAAAAAAATATATAATAAACATACACAAATAAAAATAAATATATTAAAAATATTTGTGTTAAAAATATTTGTAAAAAGTCTGTTGTAAAAACCAAAAATGTTAATTAAAAAGATATAATAAATGTAATTTTATGAACTTGATATTGCTTTAAAATATCTTAAAATAAAAAATAATTACTTTGAATATTATATGATTGTTAGCGCAAATTATGTCAAATTGTAAATGAAAATTTGTGCCAAATAAAATCGTATTTTAATACAAATTGAAATTTGTATTTGTATTGAAGAAATTTAAGACATTACCTTTTATAATATTTTAAATCTAAGAAGTCAATATTATCGTCATTCATATCTTGATCATGATCATGATTTTGATCTTGAACGAGATCTATTTGTTTTTCATTAGAGCCAACATCGTTGTCATCGTCTGAAATGCTTTCCGATCTGCTCGACGGTTTACTATTTGTCAGTCTATAATCTTCTAAAATATCATAAAAAAAGACATTAATATGTATTTATTAAATATTATCAATATCAATTTCAAGATATTAATCTTTATTTTTCATTTTTTCACTCTATTTTCTAAGCACTAAGCTATTCATTAGAGATTAATAAAGAAAATTTTGTATTTAACTAACCAATTAGATCATCATTCATCGGTGGGCTTTGTTCTCGATCTGCTTCTGTTTTTACATAGACATGTTTTTTCTTAGCAAGTTTATCGGATTTATCTTTAAGTTTCCTTTTATTTTTTGCTTTAAATTTTGTTAGCGATTTAATACCAGGACCAGCACGTGCATCCACAACCTGTAAAAATAATTTTTTATTAAATTGTGATTTTTTTATATTATATTTAATCAAAATTCAAAAAATAAAAATAAAATCAGTGTATATCAAATACTGACATGTTTCCAGTTACGTTCAATTCCTGGAGGCAGTTTTTTGAATCTCTTTACTAGAAGAACACATGCATTACATATTTCTCCACTACGCCTTTCACTGAGTTGAAAACATAGCACAAAATCATCTTCATACTTTTTGCTATCCGTGAATCTCGAACTGTAAAAAAATTTATAAATATATTAAAATATGAAATTATGTATACTTGTAAAATTATGTATACTTGTATATATGAAGAAATATATATATATATATATATATATATGTGTAACACTACAATGGTATCAACATGTTGTAATACTGTGGGCTTCTATTGAATATATTCATAGAAAATCAATATAAATTACAATTTAAAATAAAAATAATAACTATACAGTACATTACAAGTTTATTTTTATATATTTTTATAGTATAAAATATTTAGCTATAGATTTTACCTGCTAGATTTGGCTTTGCATATGCAGCAGCCCGTACTAGATCGATACACCTTTGGTTTGTGAAAACTGAACATCCTGTCCACTATATAAGTTACTATCGTTTCTGTAATTTAATAAATAAACAAATGTATAACATAACATAATCTTGTATCAACAAAAAATTATAAAACTACATTTTTTATATTATGTAAAAAACTGCATTTGTCATTTAATATGCAATACATAGAAAAAAGATTATATGTACATATACATATGTATATACATACATATACATATATATAGTCAACCAATATTCCTTGGAAATTGTGTTAAAATTTAAATAACAGAAACTTAATATGTGTATATTTTGATATTAAATATTTAAAAATATATAAAGATAAAATATATTAAAATTAAGTAATAAACATAAAGTAATTCATAAAAATACAATTTGTATAAATCCTACTCAAATATTTTAAAAAATAAAAATAAAATAAAAGATAAAAAAAGATAAAAAAAGATAAAAATAAAATAAAAAATTGTCAATATGTCGAAATATATCTATGTAAATCACAGGATTGAAATTTAATTCAAATTTGAAAAAAAAAAATTAATTTTAAAATATCACTTGCGGGGAAATATCACACGGTATAAATATGGACGCCATGAAATTGCAGTAATGAAAAAGTTAACATGCCTAAACGTGGCGAAAGCTATCGAGGAAAAATCGATAGAAAAAAAATATGAAAACAAGAATACAGATGTTAAGATTTACACGCACAAGATTTTATAGGAATCGAAAAATTACTCATAAACATGAAATAGTAATGTAATAAAATTATATATCTCGATATTGGAACGAATGCCGTGAAGTTGCTGACGGTGTGCTAAATTAAGATTGATACTTGTGAAGTTGTACATGCCTGAAGTTCGTGAAATAATACGGACGTAGATAAAGTATCCAAAAAGTATGGTCGTCGCGAAAGTAACATCAAATGTGTGTCGCAATGATCACTGATCTTATTGAGCACTTTCGCGTCTGCTAGCTTCATGTTTTGTCGAAGGATCACAAAAACAGTCCGAGATTCGAAGATCCCGAAAATCAATGGAATGCCGACGAGAAACACTATTGTCAAACGTGATCAAACTGAGACTTTTTTTACAATTACAACCGACACTTTTTTTACAAATGAAAAATCCTTTTCTTTCCGCTGCAACAGATTTCTTCACTTCCTTAATAGCGTTTTTTCAGAATCGAGCGTCACGAATGTCAAAAAGTGAAAGGCGCCTGTTGACGAACGTGCGAAAGTGACGCCGTTTTAATTCGACCGTTTGACTCTTTCCAAAATGGATCTTTGTCCCTTCGGGACACGAGAACTCGTTCGTCTCCTTGACCACCCGGTTTCCCGGAGTCGATGTCGAAAACGAAAGAGACTACTTCGAGAGAGGCCGCCAAGCAAGTTGTCGGGAGAGCGATGATGCCGACTTCGGTTCGGCCACTTGTTTTTCCAAAATGAAAGAGAAAAAATCCAAACTTCTCCTCTTTTTCACAGAGACAGAACTTCACTCGCACGCCCGTTTCTTCCCGGATTATTCGACGTATTTCTTTTCTAATCGCGATGACCATCAATTCAGAAAGGATCGTAACGGAGGAGGCACCCGTTCGCGACGAAACTCAAATTCAACATGCGATCGGCAACTCGACGTGACGCGCATACGACGTGCGAGAAGCATGGCTGTGCTACGCTACGCGCGCCGGGAAGCGTCATCAAGCGGCGTGCGCATGCGCGTGCCTCCCCCCTCCCCCGTCTACATCGCTCGTGATGTTTCGTCGCCAAACATCCTTTTCTTCCCGTCCTTCCCCCTTGACATCGTGCTCGAACTTCGTTTCGCTTCGCGCTCCGCGCGAGCGCATCGCCGAATTCTCTCCACTCTCCCCCGTTCTCCTGCCATCCCATTCGCCCATCTGTCTTTCTTCGTCGTTTTGAATGGTTTAATCGCGTCCCACACGAGTCAAACTTTGTCGTGCAAGCCGGCTAAAGTTCGTTTAATTTTGACAGAATAAAATTATCTTTTCTGGCAAACTTCACTCTGTGCGCCTCCTTACAGCATGAAGTTAGACGCAAATTCTTTCATTTTTTTTTATCCTAGGTTTTTGACCAGGAGAGATCAAAGTATCAATGATTTAAGGATCAGATTATCACTTGGGAACTGAAAGAATTTTTTTTTAAGCGCAGCAATTATATACAATTCATGATTCATGCCTTTTGATTTTGTAAAAAAAAATCACTGGCAAATTATATATGAATAATAAATAACAAATAACGGTGATAACAAAGTTCCCTTATAGAAATTCAATTTAATACTGATCAATATAATGCTATAATTGATAAACGATAGTGTCTTTAATGTACAAAATAGGTAATTAATCATTATTTTCTAGTATTAAATTTCTATAAAAATTGCACATTCATACTATTCATAATTCTCTTATAAATAGTAAATTGCGAATTTTATAACCATGAGCTCTCAAATCATATAATCTGGCGCTAGTTTCATATGTATAACTTCACGAGTCTGCAAACAATGGCATGTAGTCTGCATCCAGTATTACATCGAATGTAATTGGATCTTTGACACGATTTTTGAATCCAGCGAATTCCATTCGTTTACTATTTAATCGCTGAATGAATAGCTCAATGATTGTAGCATCGAATGGATGCAATTAGTGAGATTTTTAATGCGAACAATTTTGAACAATTTGTAAACAATTGTCGAAAAAGACAACCAGATATGTACGGCGAGATTCGAGTTGAATCTGCAAGTCAACAACCCTTATACGAAGCCACATGTCATCCTTAAGTTGGATTCAAATTTGAAAGGACAAAATTCTGTTTCATGTAATAAATATTAATTTATCAGAATCGAGTAACATTTGTTAGACATATAAATATCTTATTATATCAATTTTATCCTTTCGATGGCGATGGCTCTTCCATCTTTTTCTAATCTTCAGATCTATTTCATCGTTTGGGAGAGAAGAGTCAGTGATCTCTGGATGCTGCGTGACACATTTTCGTAGTGATTCTTGGCAATCTGTAATTTGTTCATTCTTATTCGTATCATATAGGCATTATCGTCGAGCGGTTTGCTGGCTCTCGCGAGATCTTGTTTACCGAATTTCAAAAGCGGGTCAGCAACGTCATGTTCAAGCGGCCGGCCAATGGACATGGAGGCCGAGCGGGGTTGTAGCCGAATCCGCGCTCTCGATTGGCCGACATCGAGCGAGTGAGAGAGATGGTGACATGCACTCGCAGAAAACTCGTTCTCCTTCGAAATCGCTCTCGACTATGTGCACGTGCACGTGCACTCGTTCGCGTATCCATCGCTAACGAAACACTTTCGAATGACAAGGTTAGAGTATCGAGGAAACACCCACAAATACACAACATAAAAGAATTTGCTTTCATATAATCAAATTTCTCTTGCGCATCAATATTCGGAAATTTTTCGTTGATGACAATTTTATATCGATATAAATAACCATTCGTTATAGTTTGTAAATCAATTCTTGAAAAAATATTGGCAATTTGACTTTAGTTTAAAGTGTAAAAATGTAAATTTGCAATTATACAGGATTAAAAATAAAAATAATTGTTTATATTATTTGTTAAGAATTTATTCCAAATCGATCCGTTCTCGCCTTGAAAATGAGAAAAAAAGTATTCGTTTTTCGGAGCACTTGTTTACCGAATCGATGTATTTTCGGTTGTTAAGCAAGGTTAGCCAATCTCTTGAAGGCCAAATAGTACCGATGCAATTAACGCGATTGCAATATATCGCACTGTGAGATAAGACAATCACAAGAAATACTAATTGATAGCCACCCATCGGTTGTTTACTCCAATCTCCAGTTCATGATCATGTCTCCCAAATGTCATTTATCTAAAATTAGCGTTGTATTTATATTTTCCATTCTTGTCTCAATTACAATCTAATCAAATTGCATTCAATGTATCTATTGTTATGGTGTTTTATTAAATGTACAGACGAGTCAGCAAAAATGTTCAAAGTTTTGTCGAAGTTCGCAGCTTCTGTTCCACGAGGAATTTCGTCGAGAAGAAATATGAATGCTCGTGTAAATAAATGGAGGGGAAAAAAAAATTATAAAAAAAAAAAAAAAAAAAGAGAAAAAGAGCGACGCTTATTTCGAGAACGCGGCGCGCCTCGCATATAATCCGCACGTTGCACTCTGTTTTGTGCTTTGTGCTATTTTTAGCCCACTCGTGTTTTGTCGACACGCCACCGCTGTTTTCTACATTGCGCTCTTCATCTTCTCTTTCCTTTCTTTCTTTCTCTTTCCTTCCTTTTCTCGCCCATTTTTTTGCTCTTGTTGATTTGACTTTTGTTATTGGTCCTTTCATCAAATTAATCTCGACGTTACATCTCTTCATTCACCGATTGACTCTCTGGAGTTTCGGTCCGAATTCGTGATGTGACGAAGAATTAACTCGAAGTACAAATATTTATATACATATTAAAGTTGATTTTCTGTTCTCGTAATCAAAATTTATTCCAATTAAAAATTTCTGGCATATTCCTTAGAATTAAAATTGAGATTAGATTGAAATTTAACCAATTAGAGAAAAAAAGAACCATTTAGTTTAGTGAACTATTGGTTAAATTTCAATCCAATCTCAATCTTAAGTCATAGTATGATACAGACTTTAATCGATGTGGAGCGATATGAAATATCTATGATTTTATCTTTCTCTTACAGCTTTTAAAATTTAAGTTAAAAAAAAAATGAAAAAGAATAAAATAATAGTTTTAAAATAAACATCATGTTTATAAAGGAAGCAAAACTTGGTTCTATCATTTAATTCAATCGCAGAAAATTATAAAGTATAATGAAGAGTTCAATGTTCCGTATATCTAAAGCATTCAGGTTCATTCTAAGAGTCATTTAAACCGAGAAAAGTCTATGAACTGAATAGGTTTTTATGACGATTAAATTCGAGAATTTTAAGATTTCCATGTAAAGTCAACATACATATTCAAATTTTTCATAAAAAGAAAAAGAAAAGAAATATAGAAAATTGACTAGTCATTACATTTTGTAACCCTTTTGTACCTCGCAGATTATCAAATCTCTCGCGAGAAGGGCTGTCGGCCTAACGTTCAAGCGTTCACGAATACGCGTGCGCGCGCAAGGAAAAAGGATGCTAATGCGCTTTCCCCTCATTGCATACGATGGACGATGCGCAACAGGACGCCGAAGGGGGCAAAGGGAATGCGCAAGATGACGTGCAAGAGCGCGGCGGCGATATGGCGCGTGGCGGCCGCCATCGTGACCACCACCCTCTTTACTCCGCTCCGTATCGCCCCCTCTATCGCTCCTCACCGACCAACCACATGATCGTCAACACGTCGAACCAACCGACTTCGCATCGCGTACAAATAAAAAAGAAAAGAAAAGAAAAATAAAAAAAATAAAAAAAATAAAAATAACAATCCTAAGTAAAATCATGCCGTTCGATTGGAATGTCGAACTACAGAAATGCAAACGTCAGGGTTCACGCGTGCGAGATAAAAAAACGAATTTGAAAAATCAAGCGAATCAAGTGTGAATGATTCGATTTTGTGAGACGTCGCGGTATGCTGCGCACATAAGGAGAACCGATAGGTAGTCAAACAGGTTAGGGTTGGGTTGAGCTAGGTTACGTTAAGGTTGACATCCAGACGGAGACGAGGTCTGTTCTTTTTAGACGCGTATGCTGCAAATTGCGCTTTTTATTTTACACGCTGAGACGACTGTTGCACAGCACTGTCGCATGTCATTTCTCTCCTGAGGAAAGAGAAATAAATCCGAAGAAGATGTAACAGAAGCGTGGTTAAAATTGACAGGTCTGAAATTGTTGTCTTCGAGTCAGCCGTGCGGTAACGGCGGCAACAGCGGTGGTGGCGGCACGCGGCCATGACAGGTGATACCTGCGACGCTTACGCGCGATACGAGATACGATACAATGTACGATTATGATATAAACAACCGCGAAATCGAGTATCCGCACGCGAAACGCGCATCGGACGCTTTGCGATGCGACACGTGTGACGACACCGTGAGAAAAACGACGCGACAGTCAACGCAAACGAGAAAGCTGCGTCGTAGTAGCCGCGGGAGAGAAACCACAGCCGGGGACAGTGATTCGCGGCAAAATTCGCGTGACAGGAGGAAGATGACGTTTAACCGTCGTCACGTGGCCGCGATGATGATTGCGCGTGGCGTGAAATTGCCGCAATGAGACGAGCAACGCGAAGACAGCCGTAGATCGCGATCTGCGGCCCGCGACCGCCGTCATCGCCGCGAACATATTTGCCAGTTGCGCGGCGTGTATTGACACGTGACACTCCCGCACTCGGCGACAATTTCACACGACACGTCATCGCGGCCGCGTACGCGTCGCGATCCCGCGAACTTCCCCTTAATAAAACGATACGATGATCCAAGCACTTACCTCGAATCGTGAGACAGGTGACGGCGACCGGACTTTTGAGATGGTCTCGCTTTGCGCACGCTCTTCGCGCTGCACGTACGCAGTGCTGCCACCAGTACAGGAGAAAAATTAACAATTCCTATGCGCGGAACGCGGCTACGCTAGGGAATAATACGTCTCGCTTTAGCCAATCGGCTTCTCCATTTTCTAAAAACAATATATAGCAGGAGATGATTGATGTTACTCATGTGCGCAAAATTATCAAGTTTTGGTAGTTTCATGCTGCCAATTGAGATATTTCTCTTAATAACATTTTCAAATAATGAAGCTTGGATGTGTGTATTATAATAAATTAACAAAATTATAGCTTTAATATTTCAATTAGATATGATTTTTCGTCAAACATTCGGGAAACATTAATATATTTTCAATCGCATTTGGTCAATGAAATATTTATATATATTATCCAATATTTTTATTTTAAAAAATTTACACCTTAAATTATCTTATTTTAATTAATTCGTATTATTTCTTTATGAATGTGTAATGTTCAAATTATAGTATAAATTCTAAGAACATTTATAGAATCACTTATGCAAGGCTATTTAACTTTAAGCATGCAAAAATATTATTTAAATTGAGAAACATTTATTTATAAATTAACATTTATTGGAAAGAAAGATAAAGACAATATATAATGTATTACATTAGAACCAAATAATTTTTATTTGACATGTAACTATTAAATATATATTCTCTGTAATAAAATATAACTTCTTTTTCAGAATAAATTATTAAAAACGATTGTTTCTGATAGAATTCGCTTGAAACTTTTGAACAGCAGTTTCTATTATATACGTCAATAACTTGTTAACCATTATCATCATTGACCATCTAGGACTATATGGTACATCATCCAATATTTCTTTGTACAAAGTACCCTGTGCCGTCATATGATATACCGACTGCAATGTAATTTGTGGTTTCTCTTTTGGGAATGTTGACGATAGATTAAAATGTACGAGAAAATGAAAATCACGATTCTCTAATAAAATATAAATCCAATTGAATTCTATAGCATCGTATTCCAATATACTACCGCGCTGTAATACAATTAGAACTGCGATAAACTCTTTTCTGCTTTCAAAACACTGAACTACATTGTTTATCTACAACAGAAAGTATGGATAAATATTTCTTGCGCATTTGTGCAAATCCATAAAATGTATGTTTTTAAAGTTATATACCTTTTCCTCTATGAATTTTATCACTTCAGGAACATAATCCATTAGATATTTATTGGGTGGTAGTGGTGGAATATGCAAAGATTCCGATTCACCGAAAGCATTTTTCAAGGTCTCGGATAAATGAAGTTGTGGCAAGATACGATTCCAATCTGGACCATAAAATGTGATTAGAAGCATAGCTTCATCATTTTGTGATTTATTAATACGCGGAGGCAGCCGCGAATAATCCATGGATATGCGAATTAAAAATCTTGCTTCTGTAGGTTTCGTTCCTAATGGTAACATTATTACTTCTATATCTTCTTTACATATTTCTGTTTCACCAACAAGTGTGCTGTATTCAAGCTGCAATCGATCTCCCTGTTTTCCAAGCAATTGTATCTGAAAGTGAAAAAATGTGTACATAAATATCGCTAACTTTCAAAATCCTATAATCCACATATTATAAAACGTACTTTTTTTCAAAACAACTATTACTTTTCTCCACATTAAATTAATGAATTTATTTAATTCTGTTTATAAAAATAATAATTAGCCAAAAAAATGAATATTTTAAGAATTATTTCATATTAAATGTTAAAATATATTAGAATAAAATATAAAACTTCTAAATGCACAATTTCTAACTACAATATTACTAAATATAACTATTTTTTTAATAAAGAATTAAAAGTAGTACTATGTACTACTTAGTACTATGTTCATTAATGTATACAAAAATGTGAAGTTTTGTTTAAAACATGGAAGACATCTTTCTGTCCACTATAAATCGCATATATGTCTCAATGAATTCAGAAAGAATTTAATTATTATTTTTAGTAAATTTTGAGACCATAATTTATAACATTTTATATAGTCCATCCTATATATTCTATATATATATAATACAAATAATAAAATTATATAATTCTATTTTTCTTTACCTGATGTTCTTTGTAATAAAATAATAATTCTTTTAGTACATTATGCAGTGCATCGGTATCATTAGGATTCCATTTAACAAGACTAGGTACCCAAGTAGACAAAATATCAATATCCGGGTCCATTAAAAAATTCTGATCATTGAATATGAAGTCCGGACCCATTTCTGGATATTGGGAATCAAACAATACATTCCATGTGAGATGCTCTCCAGCATAAGGAATTGATAATTTGAAACAATCATTTTTGCTCCTGTCGCAACTCGACGATACTGAATCCAATTTTACTAGACCACAAGAAACACCTTAAGAAAAGATAATCTATCCATAAAAAAAAGCACTAATTTCATTATCAAATATAAATAAGATTGAAACAACAATCTTACCAAATCTCTTGTTTTGTAAAACACGCTTCAGAAGTGGCTCTATGTAAGAATCTATGGTGCTCAATAACATATGTTGTTGATTTAGCATCTTATTGTCAAAATTGGAAAGAAACTACAATCATGTAATCGAAATAAGTGAAAAAAATCGATAGACTACTACTTTAAAATGATTTTTAATCAAAAACCTTCTAATAATTTTCTTGATCGAAGTAATTTTTGTTAAGTATTATTCTCTCTTAAGAGAATGAATTTAAATTTCAGTAATCCAGTATTTATCAAAGTATATACTGGCACTTGATTACTGAGAATTTATAAGTGTAAAACGTAACAACGCCGACTTGAACAGAACTCACATATCATTTATAGTACAGTTAACAACGCTGTTATTAAAAAAATAATATAAAAACGATCTTATTAAATCTAACAATTTTAACAATCTCATTAAAAAATAATCTTTAACTAATATTGCCGGTGATCTTCAGTATTTTGACGTTTACTCAGGTTAACATCAATTTCAATCGATTCGTTGTCTTTCTTTTCGCTTTATATTACGGTTATGAATAAGAGAGACAGAGAAGAAACATTCTACAAAAATATAACTGCAACTACAGAGCTTACGAAGTCCAAGGAAAGTTTCCGTCGTCATACAAAGTAGCTTCGTTTATTTGTTGGACAAAAAATACTCTAAAATTTCCTAAATGTTTGCCAGTGAATCGAACGTCTGATAAGTGGTTGACTGGAAAATTCCTAAGCACAGATTGATATGAATGGACATATCCAATGTGGCCAAAGAGGATGTTTCTATAGACTTATGAATACCAGCCTTACTTACTTGTGTTACAGAAGTCTGATATGATAAAAGAGGGGGAATCCGGCAGTCCATGTTTCTAAAATTATAGGTCGCTGTTTCGCTGAAAGGTGCTGTGTGACATATCAAGTGTGCTTAAAAAAAGGCGGTGTCAATATCTGATATAACTGATACAATATGATTCCTCTACTGAAAAATTGCCTTGTAGTGAGGCATGGAATTGTTAATTATGGTACGAAGCATTATTTACGCTCGCAGTCAATTAAATATTGCGTTTCAATTATAAAACGTAGAGGTACAAAGTCCAAGAGGGAGATAGAAGAGAGTGAATATTTATACTCTAATATTAATTCTCTATTTCCTGCCACGTAATTGAGTATTATTTATAATATAGATTTGACATTGAATTTCAAATTATATATGCTTATGTTATATGACATCTGTTCTATTGGTTGGAATCTACTAGTTGGAATATTTAAGGAAAAAACTTATATATTTTTTAACTTATATATTTTTTATTATTAATTTAGCAGAGACTCTTACTCGTTATTCTGGAATTTCCATAAACAAAGCTTACTCTACAAAAAGTAACAATACCTTCAAAAATATTGTATTTGTTGATGGAGTACGAACTCCATTTCTACAGTCTGGAACTCAGTATAAGAATCTCCTGGCTTATGACCTTGCAAGACATTCGTTGGTGTAAGTCAATGTCAATTTGTATTGATATACCAATAAAAAAAATCACAAATATAATTCTAGATATTGATTACAAATATTAATAAATATTTATATTATATTAATAAATATTAATAAATAGTTTTTGAAAACTGTCACTCTATCTTTTATTGTAAATATTAACCATGAAATGAATTATTTTTTGTTGTTTTATAGGAGCTTGCAAAGAAAGGTTGGCTTTCCTAAGGAAGTAGTTGATTATATTGTTTATGGCACAGTGATGCAGGAAGTACGAACTTCAAACATCGGAAGAGAAGCTGCTCTGGCTGCAGGATATAGCGAACACACTCCTGCACACACAGTAACAATGGCCTGTATTAGTAGTAATCAAGCAATTACTACTGGCATAGGTTTAATTGCTTGTGGTGTTTATGATACTGTTGTAGCAGGTGGAGTAGAATTCATGTCAGATATTCCAATTCGACATAGTCGATCCATGAGGTCTTTAATGTTACAAGCCAACAAGGCGAAAACTCTACCTAACAAATTAGCTCTCTTGGCTAGCATCAGACCAGGCCATTTCATTCCAGATGTAAGATGACATCTTTATTTAAGAAATAACATTTCATATAAAAATATGTTTGTAAAAATAATGATATCTTTCTACTTCTTTCGTCTTTCTAAAGAATTTATTTTCTTTATTTTTTATATTTATTTCTATATAGTTACCGGCTGTGGCAGAGTTTTCAAGTGGCGAGACTATGGGACACAGCGGAGATCGTTTAGCGGCGGCATTCGGCGTGACACGCAAGGAACAAGATGATTACGCATTGCGCTCTCATACTTTAGCCGCACAAGCTCAACAACAAGGATTATTATCGGACGTAATGCCCTATAAAGGTACATTAACATTTCACTTGTGATTTATTCAAAATTCAATTTATATATTATGTGTCTCGTTTTACTTTTCTATGTTGCACAGTTCCAAATGTTGATAAAGTCGTCGACAGAGACAACGGTATTCGCGTGTCTACGGAAGAACAATTGGCAAAGTTGAAACCCGCGTTTGTTAAACCTTATGGAACGATTACCGCAGCCAATGCCTCTTTCTTAACCGATGGTGCATCGGCGGCATTAATAATGAGCGAAGAAAAAGCTCTCCAACTTGGTTTGAAACCGAAGGCATACCTGCGAAATTTCACTTACGTGTCTCAAGACCCAGTCGATCAATTACTTCTGGGACCATCGTACGCAATACCGAAGGTACATAATTATTGTTATTATGTTATTTATGAAATTAAATTACAAGATTTATACAAGAATGATCGCTTGCAGATTCTGGACAAAGCCAAATTAACTTTGAAAGACATAGGAGTCTGGGAGATACACGAAGCATTTGCCGGACAGATTTGTGCTAATTTGAAAGCGATGGATTCCGATATATTCGCGCAAAAATATTTGAAAAGAAGTTCAAAGGTCGGAATACCGGATCTGAAGAAGTGGAATGCTTGGGGAGGATCATTGTCAATCGGTCATCCATTTGCTGCTACTGGAGTACGATTAGCAACGCATACTGCTAATCGACTTATCAAAGAAGATCAGCAATTCGGCCTTATCTCAGCTTGCGCTGCTGGCGGACAGGTAAAATAAAAATTTACATATTATACGAATAGTTTTTACAATACCTAATTATTTTTATAGAGACACTTCTTTTTCTTTTTGGATTTGTAATATTAATTTTTTTTTGTAGGGAGTTGGTATGATTATGGAAAGATATCCCGATGCTACAATCTAAGCCTTCTTTTTCAAAAAAATGCGTTTAGCATTTCCAAGTAAAAACGGATTGTTATCTGAGAAATAGTGAAATAATATTTTTCTATGCTCTTCTACAAGAGAATATACAAACATTCGAAATTGTTATAGACTTTTTTTTAAGAAAGTAACTTTCTATTAGATAATTTATGTACAGTGATTATTAAATTGTACAAAATCTCTTACAGAATACTTTTTTTTTTATTAGTCAAATGAATTGTGCAGAAAAGAAGGTAATAGATTTGCAATTAGATGATGCCTCACGCCACGATCCAATATATTCTTTATGTCTTGGCAGCCTTGCAACGCGCGTTGCTTGAGTGCTTCCAAACGTGACAAATGTAATCTCTGTCCTGCCCCGTGTGCTACTACAAGCAGACCAGATCCATCTATTTCAATTTCATTATTCGTTCCTGGTAACGCGACAGTAGACAAAGTAACTCCTGGCGAACATTCCTCCACAAAATTCGCGTCTAATACTCCTGTTGCTAACGTTTTGTCTTCATCCTCTGTCGACGATTTATTGAGGAGAGTTACAGTACATCCTATGGCATAGTTCTGTAAGAAGTTCATTTTATATGTAACTATATGATATGTTATTTTGTGTTGAAAAAAATATTACTTCAGATATTAACCTTAATTGGAATTCCAGCATCAATTAATGCAAGCGTCGCAGCATTCACGGATGCGCAATAATCACTACCATCAACTTGTAGAACCTCTACAAAAACATCGATCTGAGAACGTGGATATAGTTCCAAATGTATTATGGCTTCCATTGCATGGCGCAACTGTGCTGATCTTTCTTGTGACTTCCAGTCTCCCCTTGGTCTTCGCTTTCGCTCACCGGAGGTAAAGCTAAATACAGCCATGCTATATTGACAGTTTATGATAGCTTTTGTACTGCTCCTCGATGTACTGCTTCTTGGCTAAACCACATTTGATAAAAATATACACAGATCACACAACATGACTCGAAATAAATGTTGGCGTAAAAATATATAATTTAAACGAATGCGCTCTCGAAATCAAGAAATACAATATCAGATTGTACAAGGAAAAAGTAGAAGTGCCATTTGTCACATTGGCGAACTGTTTAACCTCCAAAAGTTGTATACAATTTCTGAATCACTGATAAATTCTTTCAATCGGAATATCACACAATATAATCATTAATCCACTTCTTAAAATAATTAAAGATGTCTGGAATCAATCCGTACCTGACGGGGACCATATACCGTGGCCAAAACTTTTGTATTACCATGCTCTATGTACGCACTACCATCAGCCTGTCCGAAGACTCCCATCCGCATACGGATTTGTCTCAGTTCTAACGCTCGTCTACCATCCACGCGTAGTCCACCCTGATCATCTTCCTGATCCAGCTCCATTAATTAGTTATAACGAGTTGAGCTTAACCTCCACAAAGGTGTTGTTGATACGTTATGCATAATACACGTGGCGATCACGGTGCCTTCTAGAGACAATTTCCTAAATCGACTAATGAGAAGTTTGAAGGGCGGAACTAAAAAGAACTAGGCTAATCGGCGTAACGAAATATCGAGTGTACATGCGCAATTGCTAAGTGATCTCTAAAATTGTATCAAGAATCAATTTATCTAAATTGAATGAACGAGTAGTACACGTTATATGCATAAATATTGATATCTTTAGAATGCAAGAATGATTGATTATTTTAAGCCGAGTGTTCGTTACATTCTGTGAGGTTAAGAATCGAATGCGTCCCTTTGTTGATAAACAAATATGAAATTCGCGAAACATTTGATTTATGTGTCGGAGCATGAAGAGAGTCAAAATTGTGCCGGATAGGCCGAATCGTCTATTCGAAAGCTGGTTAGAAGAATGGAGGGACGAAGCGACGCTCCGAAACTCAGAGCTACGGAGTCATTTCACGAAGGCTCTGGATTCGCTGAAACGGTACCCGTTGCCACTGGAGACCGGTAAGGAATGCATAATCCTTCAGCACTTCGGCACGAAACTCTGCTCGATGCTGGATAAAAAATTGGAAGAGCATAAAAGACAGGAATCTATAAAAGCAATCAATTCTCACTTCTCTGAAGCTGGCATTAAGGAAGATTGTACAACTACGCTAAGACAGAAACCTGTGGTGGAAAAATGTGATGTTGAAATACAAACGGAAACAGTAGTGGCTAAACAAGATAAAATTATTAAGAAGAATGCACCAAGAAGATTAATAAATGCAAGTGAAGCCAAATCAAAGGAAGTTGCCAGACAAATCTGTCTCAAACCCAGTACCTTTGATATCATATTATTAGTGGATACTCAGGAAACTTGCGGGTAAGTATTTATGACAGCTCATTAACTATAAAAAGTTTGTTTAGCTATTTAAAATATATTTCAGTAGTAAAACAAAGCCTCAGCATGATGCCACTCTGAAGGAATTAACACAGCTTAGTGTTTTGTTTGAAGTCCGTCGTTTGACAATTGGTGATTTTGTATGGATAGCCAGGTGTAGGGAAACTAATGATGAATTAATTATACCTTACATAATAGAGAGAAAAAGAATGGATGATTTAAGTGCAAGTATTGTTGATGGAAGGTTTCATGAACAAAAGGTAATTCAAGAGTGCTTTCTTTAAATATATCCTCAATTC